GGGGGGGGGGGGGAATCGCTAGTGAGGACACGTGTTTATTTTTAGCCACAGATTGAATTTTCCTCCGTTCAGTTTCTGCATCCACGACATCTCTGGATTTTTTATTTTGTTAAATATATTAGATTTATTTGTACATTTCTACAATCTCGACAATTTTTCCGAAAGTTATGAACAAAAAAATGCACTGGTTAAAGTTGACCCATGTTTTGGGTTCACATAAGTTTTTGTTTGAAGTTTCAAGATTAAATTATATAGCAGTACAATAGTAACTCCAGGATTTTTATCAATCACATCTTGTCGACGTAGCCGTGTACACGGAAAAAATATTGTTACAAATTATGTTAAAATTATATTTCTTTCTACAATATTTTCTGTAAAACTTCAAAAATTACTAATTTCTAAATAGTATAAATTACTATAAAAATAGTATAGATCTATTAGCTAATTTACCTTATTTACCATGTAAAAAACGTAGTTAAGTAATAGTTTAACAGAGTTTAAGTAATTACAATAATTTTGTGATAAGAAGCCAAACGTGCTTAACATTTTGAAACGAATATATAGGATGTCCCAGCTTGATTTCACAATCCCTCGTAAAGACGTAGAGCGGATTGAGACTAAAAAAGTCCAATACCGTTTTACGAAAATTGCAATATTGATCGAGAAATTAACTGTAGAAGGTTTATGAGTGATCACGCATCAAATATCACGCATGATATGGTAGATGAGCTGTAGTGGCGACGTCTACTTGTACATTAGGTCAATGTGAAAGAAAAAGTCTTCTACCATTTTGTAAATAATTACATAGATTTTTAATGATTAATTTAAAGAAAATTATTGCACAAGTTTGCACTATTCTCTTCTTTAATTAATAATTAAAAATCAACGTGGTTATTTGCAAAGATAGTAGAAGACTTTTTGTACAGTTTGATCTAATGTACAAGCGCATGATAGCAAACGTCGTCATTACAGCCCATTTACTGTATCGAACGTCATCGTTTACAAATATTCTTTAATTAATATAGTTATTGCGTAAATAAATATCGCAAAATGAATATCGTAAAATCATATGGAACTTTTGCGTTTACCTCAATCATGTCCTCATGAAAGATTGTTAAATCGAGCTGAGACACCCTGTATAGTAATTTCAGTCGTAATCTTGTATAGTTTAAAATTATAAAAATTTTGTTTTATAATTTTCCTACAATATATTCTCCCTGTGCATCATGACTGTTGATATTGTTCGAGGAAACAGCAATGAGATCTTAACTGTTATTCACAAGTCGTATTGTTTGCAACATAAGGCATAGTCGCGTACAAAAAGCTAAGTGATATTTAATATGTATTTATCGTCTCGTTAAATGATCGATAGCCATGACGAAGGAATACACGCCAGCATGTATGATAAAAATAATCCTGTTAATTTTACGTTTGATGAATGTTCAGGCTATTGTTGTATCGATTTGTGTGTGAAGTTATATATGAAAATATTTACTCGACTCTTATAACGAGTTGTTTTACTTGTTTCAGGTTGTGCCACGTGGAACAAAAGAGTTGCCATCATTCTCGTGTTCACGATTCTAATTATCTACTTAATAAAAGTGATAGTGTCAGTGTATTTGTAACTGGTCAATAGGTATGTGTAATGCTTGCGATTGAACCTTGTGTTAACGTACAAGTGTTATGTGCTGAGGTCGAATTCGCCGAATCAATTTGTCGAATTAGTCCTACAATACGGTGATGATGCAGTATTAAGCTGTCTCTGTTAGCATATCATTTGCGGGATCAACTAGAAGGTGTCTACCAGCATCGATTAATTTGAGTTTAAACTCTATTCAAAGATGTAAACTCGAGTTAAGGCTTAATCGATATCGGTGGGAAACTGGGCATAGACTGCCCAGCCTTTCTTCCTCCTCCCCTCCCCCCCTCCAGTCTCTCGCCAGCCTCATCGACAATTGTATTCAACAATGATAATTGTTATTGTGTGCCTATTTTTTATCGACATATCATTAGATCGACTTGTGATTAATGATCATGATAACTCTCTCACTGTGCTTCTGATCTCTGATCTGTAAACTTAATCTTATCCCCTCACCATCGAGAGACAATCGCATAGATTCATCGTCGCACAAAATGCAGTAATGACGATCTTAAAAATGTGATGTATACTATATGTGAATGTTTTTTTTATATATCGTTATTCTTTGTGCCGTATGGCCTGTACTAATTTAAGTATACAATGCGAGAAGTGATAGCGTGTTACGCAACTACTCGTGCTCGCGACACAAACGACAAAAAAATAAATCTCGAATCTTTATGCATAATTCATTCGGCGCTATATACCCGTCCCGCGGTTGCTATGCATATTACGATAAATATTAATTCGCCCGTCCCGAATGGACAACAAGCGAGTACGTGGATGTGGGAATTTTTCGAGCGCTACGCTCCCGCGAAGCCAGCGGGATACCTTTAACGGTATCTCGCCGGTGCCAATCACGACTTAAACGTCGCGGTAGCGCGTCGTTTCCACGCCAATCGCCCCTCACAGGTCGGCCGTCCGGCAGCTCGCTATAAAACAAGTCATTGCCGCCCATGAACCGGCGGCGCGATAAGAATCGCCCTTCCGCGCGCATCATGGCTCCTTCATTTTCCTCCGCGTTCCGCATAAAAGGACCCATAACGCCTATTCACGACGGCGTTACACGGTGTAAAATAACGCGACGAGAGGAAGAAGGGAATGAAGAAAAGCGGGAGACGCGCGGAGGGTGGACGCGTTAACGGCCCTTTATCATACAAGATCGCGGTGTAACAAAATCCCATGTACCAGGCGCCTTCGCGCGTATACCCCGGTGTGTGAGCATTAAAGACGTCGGTCAACGTGGGCGACACACTGGAACCCGTAAGTAACGACCATATTTCGGAGGCTATAACAAAACGTCACATACACGTTGAGGGTCGCGCAGAAGGAGAGGTGGAAAAGCCGGCGGGAGGGTGGGTCGCCCTCGGTATCGCCCGCTTTTATTATTGGCGCAATAAAATCCCTGTAACTGAGTAATAATTTAAAAGTTGAGCGCACCGTTCAGCTCTCTTTCTCTCTCCCCTCCCCCCCTCTCTCTCTCTCTCGAGCACCTTCGACGCGGCGCCGCGCCAATAACCACGAGCGGCAAAATTCGCGAATATTCCGGCTTTCAAAGTTACTGCGGCGCTGGCTTTGTTTCACGAGCTATCGTTTGCCTCCAAGGTCGTATTGAGCGCGGATAAATATGCGCTTTTACGTGATTTTACATGGGTAAAAACACTTTTTCTACTGCACGCCGTCAGTTACTTCTTCAACGTCGGAAATCGATGCAATTCACGTCTACGCATGTAACACGCAGTGTGACGCTTTGTGAGCGTCCTCATCGGACGCTCAACAATGCGCAACATCTCGCAAAGTCCACCAACGACAGCCGCGGCTGCGTCCGTTTCGAACTTAAAGTCCAATACCCTCGGCATCCAGAATCCCTGATGTCAAATCGATGTCGCGCGTTGATTACACTTCAGCGCTTTAGCACACTGGAGTCGCGACAATACTTCACGATATTTACACGTAATTATGTAAAATTTGGTCTAGATCGATCAATGGAATTAGGGCTATATAGAAAATACATGCAGACAAGCACATAGCAGCCATTCTATTTCATATATATACATATTATAATATATAAATCCTCAAAGAAAGTCACGTGTGACTCCAATCAAAAGAGGCGAGTTTGATAATAGTGTCAAATTATTTTTTAACTGTTATTAAATTACATTTTTTAATTAAATTATAATTATTTATAATTTAATGTACAAATATTAATTAATTATTTTTAAATTAAATTATAATTTTAAATATTTTTTTTTAAAGAGAAAGTTCTCTCAGCTTGTTCTGTATATATGTTAATTTGTTTGTATGTTCCTTCATAACTTACGAGAAACATTAGAGATATTGAGTTTGTTCCGTAATTGATTTAAAACGTCGATTCAGAGAAAAGTACGGCGAAGTGTGTACATACGAAGGTGTTTCACTTTTTCACACGTGGCGTGGGTAAAATTAGAAAGGACATTAGAGAAAATTCTATACATTGCAAATGATATTTTCATAATCCGCCGATAAAACAGGATACGTTTGTCATATGTACGAGAATAGGAACTTGTGAAATTTTATTAACGCGCATGATTCTCCATCACGTTTGCACGTAAAATACACAACGGTCGTACAAAATATTCAATTATGTTGGCAATTGCACGTAAACTTGTAGCCAAAGTTATTTAAATAATTTGTTTAATTGACGCGTGGAGCGAAAATTATTCATACACACACACGCATATGCACACCTACGCGCGCGTGCATACGAGGAGAGTGCCCGTTCAATATAATACGTTAAAACGGGGTAACGACATTGTGTGTTCCGCGAATCACTCATTTTATGTCCTTCAAAAATTACGCGCGACGTAATTAATTCGCACGTACGGCGATTGGAATTACAGAATGAAGCTCGTCGGAAACTCGTCGCGTCGCGCCGCTCGCTCGCTCGCCGACAGACGCGGGG